GCGCTGCCCGGGCCTCGCCCGCCCGCCCGCCATGGTGTCATGGATCATCTCCAGGCTGGTGGTGTAAGTGGCTCTCTTCCCCGCGTCCTTTCCTTTCCCTGCTTCTCCGCCCAGGGCCCCCGGACCGCGCGCCCCTGTGGTGCCCAGCCCCGTTCGCTCCGGCTATTAATACCCGGTGGCTGCTAAATTTAGCAGGTACAGTAGCTGCCGAGGACGTCTGCGAGCGGGCGGCACAGGTCGCGGCTGCCCTGCGGGGCCCCGCCGGGGCGCAGAGGACCGGCAGGCAGGGCCGGGAGGGCTGGGGCGCACTGGGCTCCGCCGGGGGGCTGCGTCTCGCCGCGCCCGGTCCCTTTGTTCCGGGTTGGTGGAATTTGCAGAGGCCCCAAAGGGGCGCACTGCGGGGACACGCGTCCCTCCCCACAGGGAGAAATGGGCCTGGGGTCGCCCGTCGCCGCGCCACGCCGCCTGGCTTTTGTCAGGTGAAAAAGACGGAGCCCAGACGGTCGTGCCTGGGGCGCTGCCTGGAGGGTCAGAATATTGGAGGGTGGCGAAGTGGAGGCGGGGCTTTCAGTGGGGTTGATAAATACTCCTTTTTAGGTTTCTCAAATTGTCAGCGGCAAAGACAAGTGGGATGTGGGAGGACAAACATGAATCTCGGAGTAGACACATCGCCTTCCCCTTGTCTGAGACCCATGGCCGGGGATTTGAAGGAAAGATAGGGGCAGGCGGTTTCAGGAATTCACGGGAATTTTTCAAGAGACCCAGAGTACCCGGTTAGTGGTGATGGCACCTCCCAGGCCTTGCAGGAGAGCGCAGAGTCATCTGGGGTGAGGCCTGTGTGAAGTCATTGGAGGTAGGCGTGGGGGGCGTTTTTCTCTGTCAAGCCCCATAGCAGAATAACATTTGAAAAGCTACTTCCCGAGTGGATTTCTTTCCTTTTGGAGATAGACAAGGTGGATTGGGTTCCTTTCTCCCAGAGTCAAGAGAAATTGCCCCCAGCTCCTGGAACGGGGACTGACATTGGTCTGGGGAGTGGGAGCGGGAGGTGTACCTCAAGCTTTTTCTTTGTCTGAGAAAGACAAGCTCCAGACTCCAGTTGAGTGTGCACCATCACTCCCCACGTTTGAAAACATCTTCCATCTCCTGGCTTCTTTATGGATTTTCCAAGAGGCAGTCAGGGACAGCCTGCTGAAGTCCTTCTCATCACTGTCTCCTGGCCATCATGCTGGGCTTTCCTCCCAAAGCCAGAGAATTTCCCTCTGAGCCCCCAGGTCATTTATTCCTTGCAGGTCTCTCTATAGCTGTTGGTGACTGCTGGGGGTTTGTGCTGTACCTGAAGGTGACATGTTAAATATCTGGGAGATTTCTGAGGGCAGAACTGGCATGAATTAAACAGGGACATGGCTGACAAGCCTTGTCCCGCCTCATTGCCTGACCAAGCCCTGCTTGCCTTAAGGGTGGGGATTTTTCTTTTGAGCTAGTGCTGTGATCTTTATATTTGCAGGTGTCTTCAGGGTGGGGTGGAGAGTTCGTGGCCTTGCCTGGAGGCCTCACTGTCTCTAGACCCCACTGGACTAGGACTGGGGCATTGGGCGTGAGGGCATCTGGTCTGAGGCTCATGTGATCATTTTTAGTTTTATCGGCATCCCCTTCTATGTATGGTAACTGAAGGGTGCTATTGCACACACACACACACACACACACACACATATATGTAGAGGCATATATTGGAGAGTGGTGTCAGAGACATGATTTGCTGTTATTTTCTAAAACAATCTCCCAGAAGTGAGACAGTGAATCTTCAGAGAACTTAACCAGGAGAACTTCCCCCTCAGGTCAGCTCAGGACCCTCTGCCCCAAGGGAATATAATTTAGGGCTCTTATTTCTGTTGTCAGCTCCAAAGGTCAGATATACCACCTATCCTCCCCCTCTCTAATTCTCTATAGAAGCCCAACATGGGAGTGTCAAGTGTGAATTATTAGACCACTTTTAGTAAGCAGCACCATATGCTTCACATAAATAATACCTGCTCATTGTAAAATTAGGAAATTAGAAAAACATCAATGAATAAACTGAAAATCATCTATATTATTATCACAGATAGGTGGGGATAATTTTGAGAGGTATATTCTTCAAGATTTTTCTCCTATGCATATTTGCACAATATATTTATAGTATGGGGAAAGTATTGATACTGCTTAATATTCTATACACGTCTCAGAAAAGAGTAGGAATGCTACCATGGCTTGGTATTCCAAAACCCTTAGTTCTCCTTGCCAACAGATCCCAATTCACAATTCAGATCACAAGAGATTGTAGTTCACAAGTTAGTTAACCTATGCTGCTGTTGCAAAGATTTCAGTGGCTGTGGGATATAAGTCAGCAAGCCCCACAATGAAGATTCCCTCCTGCCATTACAGGTACCCAAGAGAGGATGTGAGAGACTGCAAGGGGCTTCACACTTAATCAATTCCTGCACTTTTCCAGCTGGCTTCCCTGAGGGTAATCCAGTCCGGGCCTATTGGCTCTGATTCAACATGAGCAACTCCCCTCTTGTTTGTTTTATGTCAGGGCTCTAGATGCAATATCATTTGGGTACATATGGGTGTCTGTTAATAAATATCACTGCTCTCATCCTGCCTACTCATCCATAGAACTGCAAAGGGAATATGCCATACCCAAGAACACAAGATGAGCCAGTGAAGAAATCAAGCTCTGAATTTTGGTTCAATCCTCTGTCCACCTCTGCCTGTCCTTGACACTTGTCCTTAATCTCTTTCTGTCACCCAAGACTTCTGACATCTATGATTTTTCCATAAGTCCCATTTTCCTGTAAGCTGTCTTTTTAAGGTTTTGTAAGCCTCTGCCACATCAAAGAACATTTAAGGAAGACTTCTCAATCTGTTCTGAGGATGGAAAGGGAGTGTCTTCCTCCAACCGGAGGCAACTTCTCTTGTCATAGTGTCTGGGGACTGTCTGCTGGTGCTGTGTCTCCACTGGCTGTGAGCATTTTGTGGGCAGTGATGATGACTTATTTCCTTCTCTAACCCTTCATGCTCTCCCAAGGCTCTTTTTTGAAGTGCCTGACACCTGAGTAAATTCCGTAGAGATTGATTGTGATGAAGGAGCTTAGGGGCCTTGGGATGAATGGGGAGAACAACCAGTGTTGTCCCCAGGGATGGAGTTTAGTGGTCATCTGGATGGACTTGTGCCCACAGGGCAAAGTTCTCAGAGTGAGGACCAATTTGAGATGCTGCTTTGTTGCTAATTGTCTTCCTCCCAGACGCCTTGGCTTAGCTTAGGAAGATTTAAGGAAGAGACACGCTGCAATAGCAAGATTGGCCTCATTAGAACCTGACTGATAACCTGAATGGAAGTTGGGGTTCATGGCGGACTGACCTACTTGCCTCCCTTAAAATGTTTTCTTTTCTTTACCAACAACTCAAGGCCTATGCATGAGTGAATTTCAGACTGGGGAGAGTATGTTCATGTCCGTTGGGGAGGACACAGAGAGCTTGCTATGCCTGCTTCAGAGAATGCTTTATCTTGAACCATTTATTTCAGCCTGTGGGTATTGCCTCATTGTCTGTGGATAGAATTTTGGCTGAATCCCAGAATGTTGACTAAATGGATCCAGAGCTTCCCACCATGGATGGGGTTAGTAGCCCAAAACTCTAATATGCTGTGAGGGGAAAGAAAGAGTTCTAATTCAACACATTTTCTAAATACCCAAAAGCCATGCAGAAAAAAACAAACAAACAAAAAAACACAAACCCTTATTTCCACATTGCATGTCTTTTAAAAAATGTTAATTTTTTAGAAATTATAGCCTGATGTCAAGAGAGATTCTTGGTGACTGAAGTTCTAGTGAAGTCCCAGGATTGTGATTTGGAGCATGAAGTTTGTAGCATGAAGTCTGCCTAGTTAGGGATGTACAATGTGTGGAGACTGGAAGGAATGTGGGTTTTCCTCAAGATGTCCCCTAACTGTTGGAAAACAAATGGGAAAAAAATAAAAGAAAAAAGGCTATAAATTCTTAAACATGGGCTTGCCTTTCTTTGGAGCCTGCTTTTAAAAAGTGGAATGCAGTAAAATGATCCTGTTAATAGTAGGTTCAGGTTGGTTGAGGATTTATTTCCTGGCACTGGAATATAGTACAGGGTAGCAGTCAGGAAAATAGTTCAGTTGCATTGTGAGAGGAACATGTTAGGTGGAAGCCAGCAAACTTGGACTCTAGTCCCAGCTCTGGTCTGATCCCAGGGGCAACTTCCTCAACACTGAGTCCCCATCCCAGTCTGTGAGATGAGTGTGTTGGCCAGCCTCACCTTGGGAGTCTTAGTAGTTCTAAGAGTCAGGGCTCCTCTGGGCCCCTTCCTCTTCCTGGCCTCCCGAGCTGGCCCTGGTGCACCATGTTTATTTATAAACCAGAGGAGTATCCTCAAGGAAGTAAAATGCCAGTTTAGATTTCACTGTTCTTCTGCTGCCTTGTTCTTTGTTTATTAATCCAGCCTGCTGGGAAGTAGCTTTTGCACACTTTTCCCTACTATATCATTTTTTTTAAAGATTTATTTATTTGTGCATACAGAACTGGGGTACAGGCCAGAGGCTCAGGGGTGGTGAGAGGCTTCACCAGAGACAGAACAGAACAGGCAGAACCAGAGCAGAACAGGCAGATTGACGAAGTACACTGCTGAGGGGAGCAGCGGGCGGGTCAGGAGAGGTCTGCCGCGCCATGTGGTCACCTCCGGGGCAGGCGGGAATCGAACTCATGCGGAAGCGGCTTTAGATTCCCAGTGCTGTGCTTTAACCCGCTGTGCCACCAGGGAGGGCCAACCTACTATATCTTTTTTAAAATATAGCTGACAAATGAGGGTCTCACCTGGTTATTACTGGGTCAGTTTCTCCCTTCCTCCTGAATTACTGTCTTTGGAGCATGCAGGTTGCAGAGAGGAAGAGCCCTGGGAGGAGAGAAGGAGGAGTCAAGCTCTCTGTAGTCACCTAGTGAGGCTGCCATTTTGTATTGTGTATGTGTGTTTTGTTGTGTGTGTGTGTGTGTGTTTTC